TTCGGATCAAGTCACTACCGAACCTCGTAGGACGACAAGGACATGTACTACTTCGGAGTGGTAAGGTGATCCTGTCTTGAAGGTCATGTTGCTAGACAACAATGAACCTACGAGCTATGGAGAAGCGATGGTGGGCCCGAATTCCGACAAATGGTTATAAGCCATAAAATCCGAGAACGGATCCATGGACTTTGGTGGACTTGCCCGATGATCGGCAAGCCATTAAGATAAATGGATCTTTGAGAAGAAGACGGACGTGGATGGTAATGTCACCGTCCATGAAGCTCGACTTGTGGCGAAAAGTTTTTCACAAGTTCAAGGAGTTGACTACGATGAGATTTTCTCATCCGTAGCGATGCTTAAAGTCCGTCGGAATCATGTTAGCATTAGCTGCATTTATGAAATCTGGCAGATGGATGTCAAGACGAGTTTCCCTACTAGTTTCCGTAAGGAAAGGTTGTATGTAATACAATCAGAAAGTTTTTGTCGATCCTAAGGATGCTAAAAGGTATGCTAGCTCCAGCGATCCTTTTAAGGACTGGAGTAAGCATCTCGGAGTTGGAATGTACGCTTTGATGAGATGATCAAAGATTTTGGATTTATACAAAGTTTATAAGAAACTTGTATTTCCAAAGAAGTGAGTGGGAGCACTATAGAATTTCTGATGAGTATATGTTGTTGACATATTGTTGATCAGAAATGACGTAGAATTTCTGGAAAGCATATAGGGTTATTTTGAAAGTGTTTTTCAATGGAAAACCTGGATTAAACTACTTGAACATTGAGCATCGAGATCTATAAGGATAGATCAAAATGCTTAATAATACTTTCAAAATGAGCATATACCTTGACATGATCTTGAAGGTGTTCAAGATGGATCAGTCAAAGAAGAAGTTCTTGCCTGAGTTGTAAGGTACGAAGTTAAGACTTAAAGCTCGACCACGGCAGAATAGAGAGAAAGGACGAAGGTCGTCCCCTATGCTTAAGACGTAGGCTCTTCAGTATGCTATGCTGTGTACCGCACCTAAAGTGTGCCTTGCCATGAGTCAGTCAAGGGGTACAAGAGTGATCCAAGAATGGCTCATAGGACAGCGGTCAAAGTTATCCTTAGTAACTAGTGGACTAAGAAATTTTCTCGATTATGGAGGTGGTAAAAGAGTTCGTCGTAAAGGTTACGACGATGCAAGCTTGACACCTATCCGGATAGCTCTGAGTAGAGAGACCGGATACATATAATGGAGCAATAATTTAGAATAGCTCCAAGTAGAACAGTTGTTTGGAATAGCTCCAAATAGAGCGTGGTAACTGCATCTAGGAGATGACATAGAGATTTGTAAAGCACACACGGATCTGAAAGGTTCAGACCCGTTGACTAAAACCTCTCTCACAAGCAACATGATCAAACATAAAACTCATTGAGTGTTAATCACATAGTGATGTGAACTAGACTACTGACTCTAGTAAACTCTTGGGTATTAGTCACATGGCGATGTGACCTGTGAGTGTTAATCACATGGCGATGTGAACTAGATTATTGACTCTAGTGCAAGTGGGAGACTGTTGGAAATATGCCCTAGAGGCAATAATAAAAGTATTATTATTATATTTCCTTGTTCATGATAATTGTCTTTTATTCATGCTATAACTGTATTATCCGGAAATCGTAATACACGTGTGAATACATAGACCACAATATGTCCCTAGTGAGCCTCTAGTTGACTAGCTCGTTGTGATCAACAGATAGTCATGGTTTCCTGGCTATGGACATTAGATGTCGTTGATAACGGGATCACATCATTAGGAGAATGATGTGATGGACAAGACCCAATCCTAAGCTTAGCACAAAGATCGTGTAGTTCGTTTGTTAGAGCTTTGCCAATGTCAAGTATCTCTTCCTTTGACCATGAGATCGTGTAACTCCTGGATACCGTAGGAGTGCTTTGGGTGTGTCAAACGTCACAACGTAACTGGGTGACTATAAAGGTGCACTACAGGTATCTCCGAAAGTATCTATTGTTTTATGCGGATCGAGACTGGGATTTGTCACTCCGTGTAAACGGAGAGGTATCTCTGGGCCCACTCGGTAGGACATCATCATATGCGCAATGTGACCAAGGAGTTGATCACGGGATGATGTGTTACGGAACGAGTAAAGTGACTTGCCGGTAACGAGATTGAACAAGGTATCGGTATACCGACGATCGAATCTCGGGCAAGTAAAATACCGCTAGACAAAGGGAATTGTATACGGGATCGATTGAGTCCTTGACATCGTGGTTCATCCGATGAGATCATCATGGAACATGTGGGAGCCAACATGGGTATCCAGATCCCGCTGTTGGTTATTGACCGGAGAACGCCTCGGTCATGTCTACATGTCTCCCGAACCCGTAGGGTCTACACACTTAAGGTTCGATGACGCTAGGGTTATAAAGGAAGCTTGTATGTGGTTACCGAATGTTGTTCGGAGTCCCGGATGAGATCCCGGACGTCACGAGGAGTTCCGGAATGGTCCGGAGGTAAAGATTTATATATAGGAAGTCCTGTTTCGGCCATCGGGACAAGTTTCGGGGTCATCGGTATTGTACCGGGACCACCGGAAGGGTCCCGGGGGCCCACCGGGTGGGGCCACCTGCCCCGGGGGGCCACATGGGCTGTAGGGGGTGCGCCTTGGCCTACATGGGCCAAGGGCACCAGCCCCTAGAGGCCCATGCGCCAAGATAAAGGAAAAAGGGGAGAGTCCTAAAGGGGGAAGGCACCTCCGAGGTGCCTTGGGGAGGATGGACTCCTCCCCCCTCCTTAGCCGCACCCCTTGCTTGGAGTAGGGGGCAAGGCTGCGCCTCCCCCCTCTCCCCTGCCCCTATATATAGTGGAGGGGAGGGATGGCATCCACACCTGAGCCCTTGGCGCCTCCCTCCCTCCCGTGACACCTCCTCCTCTCCCGTAGGTGCTTGGCGAAGCCCTGCGGGATTGCCACGCTCCTCCACCACCACCACGCCATTGTGCTGCTGTTGGATGGAGTCTTTCTCAATCTCTCCCTCTCTCCTTGCTGGATCAAGGCGTGGGAGACATCGTCGAGCTGTACGTGTGTTGAACGCGGAGGTGCCGTCCGTTCGGCACTTGATCATCGGTGATCTGAATCACGACGAGTACGACTCCATCAACCCCGTTCACTTGAACGCTTCCGCTTAGCGATCTACAAGGGTATGTAGATGCAAACTCTCCTCCTTTCTACTCGTTGCGGTCTCTCCATAGATAGATCTTGGTGTTACGTAGGAAAATTTTTGAATTTCTGCTACGTTCCCCAACAGCCACGCCTCGTCACGACGCGCCGCACCGCGGGTTGCGGGAATGAGCCGAGCCGATATCTAAATTTTTGCCACGCACGACGGATATACGAAAGGTCACGTGGGAGTTGAAACGTTTTCTGTAATGGACACTGAATTCGAACGAAGCGCCTCTTCGGCCGCTGCCTGTTCGCTTCGTCTCCCTTCGTTGCTTCACCTCCTGCCGCAGCCTCTTCGCGTCCTTCTCCTGTGCCTATATAAGAGAGGTCGCTCCTCTCCAGAGAGACACAATAGAAGCTCCTCTTCCTCTCGCCACAAGGTTCCGACCACTGCGTTGCTGCTACGTTCTTCCCCATCCTGTCTTGCGGCGTGCACCGCAGGTCGGGACAGTAGGCCTCCGAGACCGCACCTTTTGAGTCCTGTACGGGAGAAGGGTGATAAGGTTTTGGGGGAGCGCTCGGCGCGACTACTGGCTGCTTCATCACGGACGATCCGTTCGCTGACGACTACTTTCTCGACGACGACTTCTTCCCCGACGTCCACGACCTCCTCGACGACATGGCAGACGAGGACACCGACCCCAAGTCCAGCGCTTCTGCTGCTGCTGTCCCGTACGTGTTCTTGTCTTTTCTGTTAAAGGTTCTGCCACAGTTCCTTGTTCTAGTCCTTGTCCTACACATGATAGGTTCTACTTCATATATGCTACTTGTTATACTGTCTGCTTTAGATATGATAGGATATGGTTCATATATGCAGAAGCTATTTACCTTCTCTCTGTCAGAACGCATGATTTGTTTTATCTCTACTATATTAGTCATATTTTATCTAGTATTTCTGTTAATAAAATCATTTGATAAATTGCTCATATTTCCAACATGGCATACGAGTATCTTGTGCACTCGATCTACCAGCGCATGATTAATAAGACACAAGGTACCGTTTGTGCATTCGAGCGACGTTGGTGGTGGCGTCGTAGATGTTGATCTATTTTTTCTATAATATAGTTGGTCAAACATAAAAATGCTTGACCTCAGACAAACTTAGAATTTCAAGTATTTTGTAACAAAGGAAGTAAACGTCAAGCTGGGACATGAAGGAACATCCAAACGAATCAGGCCAATTCAAATGTATGCCACTCTGTCCCCTTTTAGCTTGAAAGGGCAGGTTACAAATGCTAAACTGAGCTCAAATTGCCCCTACAAATTTGTAGCGAACGACCAAAAAAAAAGAACAAATGAAAAGAAAATTATGGTGGCAGCCGTGTGGCGACTCAGTGTGTGTTTGCGCAGAAGCCCGTCAGCCTTCAAATCCATATGAAGCGTGTTCCATATAACTGATGGAGATCAGTGACATGGAGACTTGCTAGAGTTGCTCTTACCGATCATATATTCTCAAATGACTCGTATTGTTTTGACAAAAAATGTTAAATTTTCGTGAACTTGGGTAATAATTTTGCATTCGTCACCTACATTGAGACAAGATTTCAGAGATGGAAAAATGTTAGACGTCAAGCTCATGACACGAAAGAACATCCAAATGAATCAGACGAATCCAAATGTCTGCCACTCTAGCCCCCTTTTGCTTGCACGGGCAGGTTACAAATGCTACGAGCGATCACTACAAATTCCCTCCCAAAAACAAAACTGTGGTGGCTTCTTACATCGTGGCAGTGCTCTACGCACAGAGCCTAGCTACGCAATACTCCATCCCGTGTCACCACCAGCGCAAGTGCAGGTACACGAAACAGGAGAGGGCAAGAGACATCAAGGGTGCATTGGCGGTGGCAACGTGAGCCTCATCGGTGTCGGAATCGTCGTCGTCTGATCCAAGGTCAGGCTTGCGGTTGCCCGGCGGCGGTCGAGATGCGGACGTGGCTGAACCGGGTGACCCAGCTGCGCTGCATGTAGGAACCCAACATGATAAATTTGAAAGTTTAAGGTGCAAAATTGTGGTAACAACAGATAGAATGAATTCAGCACAACACAGTCACAGTAGCCACAGACTGAGCTAAGTATAAATATCTCATGTTATTCGAGGTGGCATGTAATTCAAATTTCATCTAGCAAATATCATGCTCTTCTAGCTAGATACATGAGATTGCAGAAGACGTAAACCAAGTTTATTAATGAGTTATTAGAAATTCCTCATGTATTCTTTGTGAAGTTGTACAATAAATGGAAGCAAGTACAATGTGATGCACGTACGTACCCTGGAGATGCAGGGAAGGTGCATGATCCATAACCTGAAAAACGTAAGAGAAAACTGGATTATTAGTAGAAGTGTGTAAACGCATCACTTGCCTATGTACAACTAGAAATACTCTGATGGGGGTAGTCCTGAAACTGAAAGTAGGGTCCACAAACCGTACGAAAACTGGGCAATGCATGAACACAGTGAATAACTTTTTCATATCTCAACGTACGCCATCACTTGATCGGGAATTTTAGGAGTCTTTCTTTGGATAATGCATTCATTCTAAAGTTACCAAAAAATGGCGCATCAAAATTAAGAAATCGACCTAGCGACACATATATTCTTCGTTCAATGCATTTTCTTGAGTGAAAAAAAATCTCCTAATGAAGGCATAATCCCAAAGGTTCCAAGAACAAAAGCAGGCAGCTATTTGTGCAGTGGTAGTGATACTACTAACGAATAACGAAGCAAAAAAGCAAAAGCGACACCGGTCAAGCAAAAAAAGAAGGCGGCAAAAGCAAAAGAGACGCGTGCATGGAAAGGATTACACTGACCGATAGGAAGCTTGCGATTGAGGGAAACCATATATACACGGCAAATTTTAAACATAATATCAAGGGCATAAGCATAATCAAACAATGCGAGTTCGTCCAAAATAATATACTAATTAAACAGTGCGTAACAGAGAAGAAAGGAACAAAGATAGAATCAACGTGTACTGACTGGGGTCGGTGAGCGTGACGGTGGCGGTGCCGGCGAAGTCGCAGGCGCCGGGGGCGGCGTGGGAGCGCTGGTAGACGGAGTTGAAGGCGTAGGAGGCGTGCGCGGCGAGGGTGTTGGGGAGGTAGCAGAGGGCGCTGGGCTGGATGGGCGCGCAGTCGGCGCCGCCCGCGGGGCTGCACGCGTAGTCCAGCGCCGCCTGCACCGTCCTCACCGGCGCCCCGGTGCGCACGATGCACCACGTCGGGTTCGCCGCCCCGGCGCCCGCGAGCAGCTGCAGAGCCCACGCCGCCGCGAGCCACAGCGCCGCCACAGGAGAGCGCCGGCGCCGCATGTAGTGGTCTGCGGGAGGGTGCGGGGCGAGGCGAGAGGCTCAGGCAGCAAGAAGGAGCAAAGGTGGTGGGAATATGTGCGCGGTGGTGGGGAGGGAATATGAGAAAGAAAGACGGTGGGAGCCGGAGCGGGAGCGGAAGCCAGGAGAAGGATCTCCTTCTCCATCTCCATGGAGAACTGCTTTCTTTTCTTCTCTTTGCTTTTCCTTTGGGTCGGAGTGTCTAATCTAATTACGACCGGAGAAAGGAGATAGCGAAGGAGCGGGGGGCTAGGAAAAGCAAAGACCATCCAGGAGGAAGAAGATCAACCGGTAAAAAGGTAGTAGCAATCAGGCTGGCCGATGATGAAAAAGGGAGAAAGTACTACTCCCTCTGTTCCATAATATAACAACATTTCTGACACTACACTAATTGTCAAAAACGTTCTTATATTATGAGACGGATGAAGTAGCTTACTAGAGGTAATTAATGATTAAACTAACCTCACAAATTAGCGCACTAAAATAAATGTATAAAATAGAGAGCAAAGCAAGATGGCATCGGAATGTGCCCCCTTAACTGAAGCTAAACCATGAATTTATTGGCACTTTTTTTTTGATAAAGAGAGTTTTCTCTCCGATTTCCATTATTAGAAATCACTAAGTCTTGCGACCGACACCAGGCTATTGCCAACTCACATTACATTAGCAAATCCTACGATGCACACTGTCGAGGATGAGATCTCCTCTAAAGTGCAGATTACTCGAGCCGGGAGCGGACCAGGTTTCAGACGCAAACACTAAACGACCCCTATCATCATAATCATGAGAAATCCCACAAGCCGGGTTCTCCGGGATGATCGCACGCAAAATAAACCAGACTATCAAGTTGTGATACTCGGCAGCTAGGAGCATACCACTTAAGTTCAACTGAAGAAACAAGACAGAGACAGATCGAGGACATAATAAAGGAGATCTCCTAGGACTATAGCACCAGTTTAGAGAACTTCAGAAGATCACATCGCTGCGATTATGTGGTACAGCCCTCCATCCCTCCACCGCCCTGAAGATTTCTCCAGCGACCTGCTCAACCTTTTTTACGCCCTTCGGCATTATTCTTCGTCTTCTTGGGTTTATCTGCAAGATGAGCCAATCATGAAGTATTTTAATCATCAAGTTCCCTGGTACACAGGGATCAGAAATCCTGTTTTTATTAAAAACCACTCTGTTTCTAAGTTTCCAAATAGTCCATAGGACAACTGCAATTCCTACAGTCACAAGGGATTCTTCATCTTTATTAAATTGTTTCAGCCAGACCCCAGAATCCATTAGCACTTGATTAAATAATGTAATAGAACCAGTGGAGACACTAACATAGGGCCTGTTTGGGGTTGCTCCACGCCAACAAAATCAACTCCACTCCATCAAGTCTACTTTGGAGCTGTTCCACTGAGGGGTTCCAGCTCCAACAAAGAGCAGTTTATCATGTTTGGCATCTGGCTAGCTCTAGCTTTAAGAATTGGAAATTTTGGCGGGAAAGGTTTATTGCGGGGTTGGGAAAGTAAAACGAAAGGGTACCCACTTACCGATGGCAGAGGTAGGTAAATTTTTCTTAACTCTATGAGAACTTTTCAAGCTAGAGTTTATGAAGCACCCCTTGAAGAGCTTCCTGAAAAATTGAAAGTTGCATCATAGATTTTAGTTTTTTTGAAGCAAAACTTCATGGAGCTGCACCGTTTGGCTTGTGCTTTTCAGAGCGGGGCTGAATTTTAGGGAACAGAGCACTCCCAAGCAGGTCCATAGTATGACTGAATATTATATTTTCTGCTAGGAAGTTCATTGGCAATTTACAGATAGACAATAACTGTCTGGCAAATTGAACACATGTCTAGTAAAATCATCTTATAGTAAGAGGTTTTTTGTTTCACATATATGAGGTCATGGTCTTTTTAGCTTTGGGAGGCAGCTTTGGACTGTGAAAAGATGAAGCTCAAACAACATCTATTTTAGAGGAATCACAAGTGAAATCTAATTTGGATTATTTTCAGCCCAAAGCACGCCTGTGTGTACTTCATAGCCAAAGTCATTTCCCTAGCCCACCGCCGTTGGCATTTGGTCATAATTAAGTCATAGATGCCACCGCAGCCACGACCTAACTCTCCCTTCACCCCTCCTCCTGAAATAGTGCGTTTTCAGTTTTCACCAACCCACGGTCGTGTTGTCAAACAGCTGACCTTCACTGTGGCAGCTTCCTTGACACAATAGCTTTGCCAGCACAACAAGTCCACAACTGATCTTTCGAACCTGCAACCCAAACTAACCGAGTGTTAGTGCCCACATGCGTGTGATCTTCTGTCAAATCAAAGTCGTTGCCTGATTTCCTTTTTCTTTTTAGAGAAGAATGTTGATCTATATTTTTAGGGGAGGGTGTCAATCTGATTTTTTAAGGGGAGGATATCGTTCCGATTTTATTTAGGGAAGGATGTCGATCTGATCTTCGCTTGAGCTTGAAAATATGGGCACAACTGGTATATTGGGAAGGAATGGGGAGCGCGTCTACAGCTCACCCATAGCAAAAGCAAGTGCCTCCTCACCTATGTGTTACACGCTACTGGGTCGGTATGTTAATTGCTACAAACGTTTATTCATTTGTTTTTTTACTTTCATTCTTTTCTTTTCTATTTAAAATATAAATATTTCAGAATTCATTTACTTAATTTGTTTAAAAGCATTCATTGCACTTTTGAAAAATGTTCATGTAGTATAAAAATAATGTTTGTGTAACTTTTATAAAATGATGAAAGCATTAAAATAATGTTTATGACATTTAAGCACGTGTGTCAAAAAATGTTTATTACTTTTTTTACAAATGTTTATAGAATATAAAATAAGTTCATGACATTTTTTAAAAGTTCACATGTATAAAATAATGTTTGTGATATTTGTACAAATGAAAATGTAAAAACATGTTTTTTGTAACTCAGAAAAAAATGTTTCATGCTATTAAGAAAAATCAAGCATCTCAAAATTTCTTATTCACATTTATAAAATGTTATACAATGTAAAAAATGTTTTCTTAAGTTAGAAAATCTCTAGTACCATTCATAAACAAATGTATGTAACTTAAAAATGTTCACATGTTCCAAATAAATGTTCACCGCATTCTGAAAATATTTATACAATGTAAAACATTGTTCATGTAGTATTAAATAAACGTATCACATCGTGCAAAAATATGTTCAACGTGTATCTGAAAATGGTTAACATTTATTCAAAGAAAATGTTTCAAAACCTGCAGAAAATGTTCAACCTATAGCAAAAAATATGCTTGCATAATAAAGATGTGCAACGTGTATTGAAATAAGTCAATATTTATTTGAAGAAGAAATAAAAAGAAAAGGAAAACTTAATAAGCTGAAGAAAGACAAACGAAAATCATGAAACTCGATAACAACAAAAAAAGGGAAAAAAGCGCATGGAATCTCGGCATGGGGGAGATATAGCCTTTTTTAGGCGATGGGGAGATGTAACCTTTTTTAGAAACACATGTAAGAGCATCTCTAGCCGCGCCCCCAGAAAGGCCTCCCAGGCGATTTTTTCACGCCGACGCCGAAAAAACGGCCCAGTCGCACCCCAGGAGCCCGATTTTCGCAGGCCTGGGCCGAAATCAGCGCCGGCGGACCCAACTCGAACCCGGCGCGTTGGGGGGGCTCGAGGGCGCCGGGCGAATCGTTTTTGGCGCGAAATAGCCGCGGGCCCTCCTTGCCAGCGACTCGTCTCTCTTCTAGCCGCTTCGTCGTCCTCATCGCCTCGTTTCCCGCGGTGAATCAATGCCAAATCTTGAAACCATGCACAAATTCTCACACTCAACATGATATCCGGTCTAGATGCACAAAGGTAAAGCAAGGATCCAATCATGGAGCGATATACCTTTTGATCCACCGCTTTACCATTGGGATCTATGTCAAGTTGGCACTTGGTGGGCATTGGAGTAGAAGCCGACTTGAGGTCACTTAGCTTGAATCTCTTGAGCATGTCTTGAGTGTATTTGGCTTGGTTGATGAAGGTTCCTTCTCTTCTTGGCTTCACTTCGAACCCTAGAAAGAACTTCAACTCTCCCATGGAAGACATCTCGAACTTTGAGGTCATAAGAGCGGCAAATTCCTCATTGAAAGATTTTTTAGGTGAACCAAAGATAATATCATCAACATATAATTGGCACACAAACAACTCCCCTTTGACCTTCTTAGTAAAAAGAGTGGGGTCGATTAGCCCAACTTCAATACCACGGTCTTGTAACAACTCGGTAAGGTGGTCATACCACGCACGTGGGGCTTGTTTAAGGCCATAGAGTGCCTTATCGAGTTGATACACATGATCGGGAAAGTAGGGATCCTCGAACCCGGGGGGTTGCTTGACGTAAACCAATTCATTAATAGGACCATTAAGAAAAGCACTCTTCACATTCATTTGTTGTAACTTAAAGTTATGATGAGAAGCATATGCAATCAACATGCGAATGGATTCAAAACGAGCAAAGGGAGCAAAGGTTTCACCGTAGTCGATACCCTCGACTTGGGAGTAGCCTTATGCTACCAAACGAGCCTTGTTGCGAATGATAATCCCATGGGCATCTTGCTTGTTCTTAAATATCCACTTGGTTTCAATGACATTGTGGTTCCCCGTCGGTCTTGGCACCAATCTCCACACTTTGTTGCGCTCGAAATTGTTGAGTTCTTCATGCATGACATTGAGCCAATCCGGATCTTCTAGCGCCTCATAGACCTTGTGGGGTTTGATACAAGAGACAAATGTGTGATGCTCACAATAGTTTGCTAATTGTCTACGAGTGCTTACCCCCTTTCTTAAGCTTCCAAGCACATTCGTCAAGAGATGATCCTTGGTGGAGAGCTTGGAAGCAACCTTGGCGGCACGACGCTCCAAATCCTCCTCGGGGGTGAGACGAGGAGTGGTCACTTGATCATCTTGAGCGTCGTCTTGAGCTTGTTCTTGTTCTTGAACTT